CGTCGTCGACGTCGTCGTCGTCACCACCACCACCACCACCACCAGCGCCACCATCGTATTTGGCAACTGGCAACTGGCAACTGGCACTTGACTCCGCGCATGTGGCACCATGAAAGCGCAGCGGAGGCGTTACCATCATATCACCTCCATCGTCACCGTCACCATCACCATCATCAACACCACCAACACCACCAGCAACACCACCATCGTCACCATCCTCATCGTCATCACCATCATCATCAGCAGCAGCATCATCATCACCATCATCACCATCACCATCACCATCACCATCACCATCATCATCATCGCACGTCAGCCGCTGCGGGCCGAGGAGCGCGGCGGGCTCTGCGGGACCCCTGCCCCGAGAGCGATCCGCTTCAGGACAACATCCGCTAGCCGCTGCTGGCCTGGGCCAAGAAGGCGCACGTCGCCTCGGCGCGCATGCGCGCAGCCGCGGGCCGCGCCTCCGCCGAGGCCTGACGCCGCCTGGCCGAGCTCGGCCCTGGCAGCCTGGTAGCCAGGCGCCCCTGGCGGAGCGACAGCGCTGGCCTCGCGTAAGCCATGGCTGGTCAGCCATGGGCACGGGCGGCCGAATCGCAGACCCTCAGCACGAAGGAAACGAAACGGGTCCTGAAGGAAAGGGGTCCAAGGATGCTTTTCGCCGTGATCGGGCCACAAGGCCCTCCACGGGGCCCCGGGGCCGTCAACAGAACCTCCCGGGTTCTAGGACCCGTTTCCATCAGGGCCACTGTCCTTTAAGGTGAATTGAAAGGCCTCGCCGTGGCGATGCGCGTCGTCAGCGCGGACACGCAGAAGCGGCGCTTCACGAGGCAGTCACAAGCTGCTCGGGCGCGGTGAAGGCCAGAGGCGCGTGATCCCCGCCCCCTGCTCCGCCAAGAGCGTAATGATGGGAGGAGTCTGGCCAGTAGCCAGAAGTGCGGAGAGGGGCGCACCGATCTGCTCGTCGTCACGGTGCTCATGCGGGTGCTGAGCGTCGATGAGAGGGCAGGCGGGAGTTTGGCTTGCTGGAATACTAGAACACACAGTGTGCCGTGCCCAATGATCAACGAGATGGTTCACATGGAAGCAAGTCTCCCGTCCCCCCCGTGTGCAAAGGGTACGGACGGTGAGGCACCTCGCACGGTCCTGCGGAGGCCGCAGAAGAGGCGACACAGAAGGGGCTGGACAATGAGGGCCTGGAGGCGGTACTGGCGGAGGCAGCCGAGCTCGGCCAGCTGATTGCCGCGGGGGGCCTGTCGGACGCGGAGGACCCGATCTGGACCCGCGGGCTCCGGCCCTATGCGCTCAGGCAGTTCCCCTGGGGGCCGCCAACTTGGTCCTGTAGACGGGTGGCCAGGTAGGAGAGGAGTCACGGACGAGTCGGCCTTCAACACGAGCCTGCCGACAGCGGCGCTGGGCGGCCCGGGCGGCCATGTCGCTGGGAGCTTAGCGTGACCGATGTCGGCGGACAGCAGCTTTTGGAGTTGCGTGCCATGTCCGCTCCCATGGGACATGAGCGTGGGCGACCTCATGGCCGCGTGCACCGACCAGCGCGACTGCTTCCCGCCCATCAGGTCTGTACGTCCGCGCACTCCCACTCGCCTGAGTGAGGAAGCCCAGGTCCTGGAGAGCGAGATCCCGGGGACGACATCCCTCGACCCTGGAGGTTGCAGGACCTGTGGCGCATGGCGGAGGAGACAGGAGCCGAGCACACCCCGATCGTGAAAGCCAAGGGGCACGCGAGGCGGACGGACGCAGCGCCAAGCACCATCGAGCACCAGCAGGAGGTCGGCCACATGCACGCCGACCGTCGGTCTCAGCAGGGCCCTGGGCTCTGGCCCGCACGGCGGCAGGCTGCTGGGAGCGCGAGGCACAGGCAGGACTGGTTGGCCACGGAGGCGAGAATCCCTGTGTTTCGGGAAGGCGCTGCAGGCACTGGAGGCCGCCCAAACCGCATGTCGCCGATGCATTGGCGGTGCGTCGGCGACAACGGGATGGAGATAACTCGGGCTCTGGATCGATCCGCATCGCCGATGTATCGGCGATGTGGCGCGATGCTACGACGCCATCTATCCATCTACTCCAGCCCCATCTGGGCAACCTGGAGGCAGGGGACGCGAACATGAACGCGGAGGGCGGCGTCGACCCCCCAGGGCTGGCCGCCCTGCACTGCTGCAGGAAAGGCCGCAGCAGACGTGCGACAACAGGAGCGCAGCTGCGGGGGACGGCGCTGCTTCGGCGAGCCCTGCGACATGCACAGCACGCCAGCGCTGTTCGCATCCAAGATGTTCCTAATAGCTCCATCTCTCCCATTAGCGCGCGAGCGAGCCGAGAGCAGATCGCTACAGCAGCGACGCATGCTCAAGAGGGCAGGACTCCAGCGCCGCTGGCGAGCGATGGGGGCTGACCCTGAGTGCAGATCACCTTCCAGGTCGTTGGATGCTTTTGAATTGTATTCATCACAATCGTCATCACAACCATCATCATCACCATCATCACCATCATCATCATCATCATCATCATCATCATCATCATCATCATCATCATCATCATCATCATCATCACCCCCATCATCATCAGCGGCAGCATCATCATCAGCAGCATCATCGTCATCATAATCCTAGTCGTAGACGTCGTCGTCGTCAACGTCATCGCTATCGGCGTCGTCGTCGTCGTCGTCGTCATCATCATCATCATCATCATCATCATCATCATCATCATCATCATCATCATCATCATCATCACATCATCATCATCATCATCATCATCATCATCATCATCATCATCAGCATCATCATCAGTATCATCATCATCACCACCATCATCATCACCACCACCATCATCATCATCATCATCATCATCATCATCATCATCATCATCATCATCATCATCATCATCATCATCATCATCATCATCATCATCATCATCATCATCATCATCATCATCATCATCATCATCATCATCATCATCATCATCATCATCATCATCATAACCACCATCATCATGATCATCATCATCATCAGCGTCATCATCATCATCATCATCATCATCATCATCATCATCATCTCATCATCATCATCATCATCATCATCATCATCAGTATCATCATCACCACCACCACCATCATCATCATCAGCATCAGCATCAGCATCAGCATCAAAAGCAGCATCCTCAGCATCAGCATCATCACAATCATCAAGAACAGCATCATCATCATCATCCTCATCATCACCAGAATCAGCATCATCATCAGCATCAGCATCATCATGTTCATCTTCATCATCAGCAGCAGCATCACCGTCCTCATCGTCATCATCATCATCATCACCATCATGATCAGAATCATCATCACCATCAGCATCAGCATCATCATCATCATCATCACCAGCATCATCACCAACACCATCATCATCATCATCATCATCATCATCATCATCAGCATCATCATCAGCATCAGCATCGTCACTATTGTCAGCCTCATCATCATCATCCTCATCATCAGAATCATCATCGCAATCAGCAGCACCATCATCAACATCCGTATCATCGTCCTCATCGTCATCATCATCATCATCATCATTGTCATCGTCAGCATCATCATCAGCAGCATTGTCATCAGCAGCTGCCTTTGTATCAGCATCATCATCGGCAGCATCATCAGGATCATCAGCAGCAGCATAATCATCATCAGCATCATCAGCATCAGCAGAATCATCAGCATCATCATCATCATCAGCATCATCATCATCAGCATTGACATCATCATCATCATCATCATCATCATCATCATCATCAGCGGCAGCAACATCATCATTATCATTATCATCGTCATGATCATCATCATCATCATCATCATCATCATCATCATCATCATCATCATCATCATCATCATCATCATCATCATCATCCTTATTATCACCCCCATCATCATCAGCGGCAGCATCATCATCAGCAGCATCATCGTCATCATAATCCTAGTCGTAGACGTCGTCGTCGTCAACGTCATCGCTATCGTCGTCGTCGTCGTCATCATCATTGTCATCGTCATCGTGTCGTCAGCATCATCGTCATCAGCAGCAGCAGCAGCGGTAGCAGCAGCATCGGTATCATTGACATTGTCGTCGCCGTCGTCATCGTCACCGTCATCATTGCTGACATCAATATTGAGATCATTGCAACCAGCAACGGCACCGTCATCATCGACACCATCATCACCATCAACATAATCCCCGTCAACATCACCATCATCATCATCGTCACCATCACCATCACCACCACAACCATCCACGCTCCTCGTCCTCATCATCATCATCATCATCATCATCATCATCATCATCATCATCATCATCATCATCATCATCATCATCCTTGTCCTCATCTTCACCACCACCATCAGAATCACCGTCAGCACCGACCGCCGCCGTGCACCCAGCCCCCGGCGCGAGGTCGGCTGGACGCCAGCAGCAGGCCTGGCCAGGCACCCCCCACGTCCAGGCTGGCGTGCGGGAAGGAGGGAGGGGAGGAAACGTGCGATAGGGAGGAGGCACGAGGGCGGAGAAGGGAGGACGGAGGGGGGAGAAAGGAGAGAGGGAGGTAGGAGGGAGGAGAGAGGAGGGAGGAGAGAGGGAGGGAGGAAGGGAGGAAGGAGGGAGGGAGGAGAGGAGGGAGGATGCGTTCCTCGCTCCCCCCTTCCAACTCGGACCCCCTGGCCTGCTGGTCCCGCTCGGATGCTTACGCTCTCTGAGCCCCGACATTGTCTTGCGTTGCATCAGCCACCTTCCCTGCTCTAGCTCTCCCTATGTATTAACATTACGCTCATCATCGTTCTCCTCCTCCCCCTCACCATGAAGCTACTATTCCGCCATTGCTCCCTGCATCCCTTGCTATCTTCCTCATAACCCTTCTTATCATTACGCTCACAGAACGACCCAAACGTGTTCATCATCCAGCCCGACTCTTGTCGTTCTGCCTCCCCGCTCTGAGTCATCGGAGAGGCATGCCTCACGATGAGCAAGACGTCCACGAGGACGGCCAGACCGATGCCGTACAGCACTCCCATAAGCAGGGTGGTGACAAACGCTACGACCCATATCCTCAGATCCCTTCTCAGGCCGCCCTTCCTCTTGGGCTTCCAATACTGCTTCCAGATCTCCATTGGGTAGTCGAAGTCGAGCAGGCTAACGGACGACTTCATTATGATCGACGCGAGAGCTGCCTTCGGAAGGAACGATATTGCCGGCGCCAGGAATATCAGGCCGAGGCCGATGACGCCAGAGGCGAAAACGCCACCCATCTGCGTCTGGACGCCCAGCTCCGCCGCAAGACCCGTGCGGCTCAGAGAGCCGCTGGGGGGGAAGGCGCCAAAGAAGGATCCCATGACCCCCGCCGAGCCGAGAGCGATCAGCTCCTGCGACGCGTCAAGTTGGTAACCGAATTTCAAAGCCATTTTCTTCGTCGTGGCGTAGGTTGTGAGGAATGAAGTGAGCGCCACCAACACACCACCGAAAACGAAGTGGAACTTTTCATGGTTGGACTTCAGAAGCCCGGCGACGGGTTTCGTCGACCAGGCTGGTCGGAACGGTGGGAGTCCAGAAGGGATGTGGCCCACAGTGGTGAGCGCTGGTTTGCCATCCTCGGTGAAGAAGGTGCTGCTGTAGCTCAGCAGGATGCCCAGCACAGCGATGATGATCTCCTTCATCTCGGTGATCCGCTTGATCTTCTTCCACCGACCTAGGATGACACCAACTATACACCGACCCTGCTTCTGGCCATGCCAATGAAATAAGCCCCAGATCCGCGTGCTTGCCCTCCTCATGTCTACAAAAAGATCACCCTGCTCGTTATCAGATGGGGGGATGGGTGCTGATTCGGTGTGCGAGCGTCTGATCAGTATTGTATGTACGCGTACCTAGAAATAACCCTATGCATCCAGATATCCACATATACGTATACCCATTCATAAAAAAGACATATGCATACACAGTCACATATGCATACACATACACATACACATGCATATACACTTGCACGTACACATGCACGTACACATACACATACACATACACATACACATACACATACACATACACATACACATACACATACACATACACATACACATACACATACACATACACATACACATACACACGCACATGCACATAGACATACACATACATGTTTGCGTCGACGACTGGGCAGAGGGCGCCTGCTTTGGCGGAATGGCCACAGGGGCACGCTGCATGCAAATTAAAGCCACAACGCACGGAGGATGAGGAGAAGCCCCGGCGCGACAGGGGGAGAGGAAGCTGGGCCATTCAGAGCTGCGGACTGCGGCGGGGTTTGCGCCGAGGTGGGGTTCCAGCGCCGGCACTGAACTGCAGTGAGCTGCACTAAGCTGAAGCTGAGGGGGAAGCAGCACTTGGCTGCAACTGGAAGCGGAGAAACACACCGTAGCGAAATCCCGACCCAGTGAACCAAGGCACGACCCAAGGATGGACCAGCGCGCCGAGATCTGCGGGCCTACGAGGCGCGGGCAGGGAGAGGAAAAAGGCGGGCAGGCAAGAGAAACGAAGCGAAACCCAACCCGGTGGACCGAGCACAGTCCAGGGATGAGAAAATGCACCGAGACCGGCGGGCCTCCGAAACGCGCACGAAGAAATGGGAAAGGCCAGGACGGACAAGCCCCAGCAGCAGGCGCTGCGCCGCGGGCACACGGGCGGACGTTGGACGGCACAGGGCGCGGCTGAAGCAGGCGCCGAGCGGCACAGAACAGTGGCAGAGGAAAAGGCAGCAGGCGGGGCGGTGCCCGACCCAGTGGACCAAGGCGCGGCCCACGGATGAGTCATTGCGCCGAAACCCGCGGGCCTGCGAGGCGCGGGCGCGAGGGGCAAGCGGCCGGAACGGCACCGCAAAGGCAGAGCAGGAAGAGAGCGGCCATAAAAAGGTGGCGGAAGGGCGAGAAGACGACGCCCAGGACCTCGACCCGCGCCGACGGCAAGGAACCCCGACATCGGCAGCGGCGGGGAGCGCCGAGACCAGGAAGAGCAAGGAAAGCGCGGAAGGAAGGACGGCCCGGGGGGGCGCGGCGCGGCACCCATGGAAAAGAAAGAGCAGGGCACCGCCAGGCGGGGGAGCGGCGGGCCCAAGGCAGGCAAAACTATGGCGGGGAGGGGCGGAGAACCCGAACGCCAGCCGGCGGCGGGGAGGGCACCCACGCCCAGCGGGGGGCGGCAAGCCAGGTGGGCGAGCGGGCGATCCCAGAGACAGAGAGCCAACTAAGCAGCAACCGACATGAGCAAGGTGTTAAAAGAGCGACAGCGGCCAGACACCGGTAGCCGGCGCTGGGGAGGCGAGGGGGACATAGGCACCGATGCGAGCGTCGCCCGACCGGCGAAGCGCGGCAAGGGCCAGAAGGGCGCCGCAGGCAGGGCCTGGACAAAACCTGGAGGGCCAGCGCCCCGAGAAGGGCGCAGCGGCGGAGCAGAGCACCCCGAGGCGGGCGGGAAGGCCGGTCCGAAGGTCTGAGCGGGCGGCAAGACCTGCCACCTGCGACAGGGCCAACCGGTAGAGGGCGGCGCGACGGGGCCCGGTCAGGCGCCGGCTCAGGCGCTGGCGGGCCCCACGCATGGGCGCGAGAAGAAAGCAGGCCTCGAGCGGCCGGGGGCTTGCGGGGGGGGGGGGGCCACCAAACAGGTGCGCGATGAAAAGCAGCCGCGCGGGCAGGGAGGAGAGGGCGGCGGGCGGGCCCCGCGCGAGGGCTGGGGGCCTGCGGGGGGGGGCGCCGAATAGGCGCGCGCGTTAGAAAGCCACGAGGGCAAGGAGGGGGGGGCAGCGGCCAGAGAAGCCACTGCCAGGGCGGGGATGTCACGCTCAATGCAGGACGAGGCCGGCTGGCTGAACACCACCAGCGGTGGCCGCTGGAAGCTGACCCGCGCTGGCGGGAAAGGTCGTTGCTAGGCCAAGAGGAGTCCGCTGGCCGCTTCCCTTCCCCGCGCGGCGGAGCACCTTTTCTTTGCCTTTCGCGAGCTCAGAGCCTCGCATCCGCCTGTCAAGTTCGCGATGCCACTCAGCGCGCCAATCGACTTGCATGCCTTTCCAGCAAAGTCTACGCGCGTCGCAATTGACCTCGCTGAAGTCACGCACGAAACTTCGGCAGAATTCACGGTTGTGGCGCCGCGGGTATTTGGCGGAGCGGGGTCCAACACTCCCGGTCACAGATGCCGTTCCACCCGATGGCGAGCATGGGGCCATTCCTTCTTGAGGCGGTTGATCACCCATCTCCTGTCCTCCCTTGCATTGTCTCGGTGGTTCCAGGTAGGGTACCAGGTCGCACGGTGTCTTGGCTCGTCGTGAAGCCCGTCACTGTTGTCCGACTGGGGCGCGGGCAGCGCGAAGAAGGGCGGGCGACGCGGTGCAGGCCCCCGTCTCCAGGGCGGGGCGGTCTCCATTGGGCCTCGCCCGCGCCACCTTCAAGGCGCGCCTGGGCCGAGCTGTTCGCTGGTCCTGGGGGTTTTGCGCGCTGGCCCCTGCTCTGCGGTCTGCGAGGCGCTGGAAAAGACCGCGCTGCCAGCGGGGCCTCAGCACGACAGGTGCTGTAGGAAGGGGGCGCGCTGACAGCTGGCTGAGGGGAGTTGCCCGGGCTGCACCTCCCCTCAGTACAACACCCGCCGGCAGGAGTCCGGGGCAGCCCCCCCACTCCAGTCGCGGGGGGATGCGCGGGGGGGGCTCGCGAGCGGCAGAGCGGGAGCTGGAGCTCCTCCCCGCTCTGCCCCGCCGAGCCTCGCGGAGGGGCCCCAAACGACTCAGCGCGCCCGGCCATCCTTGCCACTGGCGCGGGCCGGCACAGCCCCGCGCCCCGAGGAGGCGGGGGACTGGCTGGGGGCACGCCGCTCCGCGTCTGGCCACGGCGGCGCCGGGGGGGGCAGCAGTCTGGATTGCTCCGCGCGAGGGGGGCCGCCACTGAGGCGCTGGGCTGCTGACTCCCTCTCGGGCACTGAACATGAAGGGCCAGCAGAAGCTGGGGCGGCGCCGGAGAGGGCTTCCGCGAGGGCGAGTTTCTTCTTCCCAGCGGTTGCAGAAGTCCCGCACGCGCGGGTGCTATAGCGACGTCATCCCCCTTGACTCCAAATAGCCGAGCAAGACTTCCCGGCTGTGCCATGTCGGCCTTTCCGGTCGCTCTGGGGCGGCGCTCGCTACGGCATGCACCCATTCGCGGGGCGCCTTGCTCGAGCTGGCGGGGGCATTGGAGGTCTGCCGATGCAGGCGGTCAACTGGGAGGGCCAGGGCGGCGCGCTCACGCCCCATCACACCCCCGCGGGGACCCCAGACGGCGGGGTGGAGTCGCCGCAGATGGAGGCCAGCAACTCCCGGCAGCATGCTTCGGGTCAAGCTCCGGGGTCAAAGAAGGGGGCCATGCCTCTCTTTGGCTGGCGCATTGAGGAGTCGGCGTGCGTAGCCGCCCATGTCCTCCAACGCTCGTCGACCTCTGGAGAAACTGCTCGGGCAAACGTCACCATCGCGCGCGCGGACGCGTCGCCGGCACCCCCGAGCGCTGTCCGGATGGATGCGCCCGGCCGCCTGCAGGGCGGCAATGGCCCTCAGATTCAGGCGGGGGCATGCCAGAGGGTTTACGCTGGATGGGGCATCCAGGAGGCTAGGGGGGGCGTCGCGGGGTCGGCCGCACGTTCCGCCCGCGAGCTGCCGCGCGCCGCTGGCGCTGAGGCCGACCTGCCCTGCTGGCGACGCGCCCCGGGGAGGGGGCTGCGGGAACCTGCGGGGCGGCCGCCGGGTGAAGTCCTGCCCCGCCGCGCAGAGACTTGCCGCGCGGCGCCGCGGCTGCCGGCGGTCGGGGGCAGAGCGAAGCCCTGCCGTCGTCGGGGGAGCAGGAGGATAATGAGTACGTGGTGGACCTGCTCCCGGGTGGGTCGACGTTGCCTGGCCTGTCTGCCCCCAGGGCGCGCGGCCGCCGCGCGGCTGGCCGGGTGCGGGGACGCTGCCGGAGGGAAGCGCGGATGTCGGGGGCGCCCGCAGCCCTCGCTACTCGCTGGAAGTCAGCCTTCGGCAAGGTTGCCCAGGCCCCTAGCGGGTCGGAGTCGGGGGACGGGGACGGACCGCTGGGCCGCCCGGGTGTTTGCGAGGCCCTGGGCCCAGGGAGGGGCGGCCCCCCGCCTCTTTCATGCATAATTTGAGGGAACAGGTCGCGACCGCCCCTGTCGAAGATTACCTGGACCTGGCTGGGACGGGCACACCCCACATGCACAGGGCAATCCTCGCAGAACCAAGCGGCGCACCACTGCGCGTTGGCAAAGGATCTGGGCGCGCTCACTGGGGATGGGAATGCGGCCATGCAGCTGCAGTTGCACTTCCTTCGAGAGACAGCAGACAAACATGCCCTGGGGGGCGCCCCAGCACGGTAGGGTCCCTGCCAAACCTGTCGCCCATGGCGCGGAACACGGGAATGGCGGCGCGCGCGCGAGCGGGGTCGCGCGGGCCCGTCGGGACCAGCGGGAGGTCTGCCAGTGAGGTAATCGCTCGAGCGGGGAGGGCGGGCGGATCACCCTGCAGGGGGCCAGGCAGCCAGCGCGGGCCAGCGCGCCGCAGACCGAGGGCGGCAAGGCGGGCTGCCACCCTGCCGCGGCCCGGCGCAGGCAATCCCTTGACTGAAAGGCTGGCGCGCCAGCACCCAGAGCAGCGCCAGCGACAGTCAACCCCGCGGCGATAGAATTCCA